CTATACTATGACACACTATACTATGACACACTATACTATACTATGACACACTATACTATGACATACTATACTATGACATACTATACGTACTATGACACCCACATCAACCACAGAAGACACCTTTAAAACAATCAAATCCATGAGATTTATTAACACAAAACATAAGACAATAAAAAAATCCTCTGCTGAGAAGCAGCAAGACCAGCAGTCCACACCAGAGGCCTCCTGCTGCTGCTGCTCCTCCTGCTCCTGCTGCTGGCACAGGACCTTTAAATCACTTCCTTCTCAGGCCTGGTGCACCTTGTTGATCAATGTAGTACACCATCAATGTAGTACACTTTGTTGATCAATGTAGTACACCTTCAATGTAGTACACTTTGTTGATCAATGTAGTACACCATCAATGTAGTACACCTTCAATGTAGTACTTTGTTGATCAATGTAGTACACCTTCAATGTAGTACTTTGTTGATCAATGTAGTACACCTTCAATGTAGTACTTTGTTGATCCATGTAGTACACCTTCAATGTAGTACTTTGTTGATCCATGTAGTACACCTTCAATGTAGTACTTTGTTGATCCATGTAGTACCTTCAATGTAGTACTTTGTTGATCCATGTAGTACACCTTCAATGTAGTACACCTTGTTGATCCATGTAGTACACCTTCAATGTAGTACACTTTGTTGATCCATGTAGTACACCTTCAATGTAGTACACCTTGTTGATCCATGTAGTACACTTGGTAGAGCTGCTAAAAAGGGAAAAGGAACAGAACAGGTAACATGTGAAAGTTCTAGAGATCACAGTATCGTGTGTCGAAAAAACATGATTAAAAACTTCATAAAGTCATAGTAGTGAGTATAAAACTGTCAGAACATGGTACGTCATAAATAATCATTTCTAAAAGCAGATATTACGTTCTTTAGATCATTTAAGAAAAGCTTCAGAATCAGCCATGATTTCTTTCGTCAAAATGATTATTATTAATAATAATAATAATAATAAATCAAACCTGTCGACTGACTTTCACATTTTCAGAGAAGAGAAGCTGAAGATATAGAAAACATCTGTCCAGCGGCTGATGTTTAAGAAGTGGAAGGTGTCTTCGGAGAAAATGTTTTTCATTTTAAGATAAATTCTAAGAAACAATTAATCTGCAAGAACTGAGAAGTGAAGTAGAGACGTCTTTGAACGTCACTAAACGTAAACTGAACAATGAATGAAAGTGTGAATACAGAAACGTTAGGATGGAATTCAGACGTAACTTTCACTTATTTGTAAACATCGTGATCGGTGGTGAAAGAAAAGACGACAGAGCGTTGAACTGAAGACATCAATAAATATATCTCTTTTATTAATTGTTTTATATACATTAGGAATGTAAAGAAATAGCTGGTTATTGCACTTCCAGGATCCGGGACGTCGTCCGCTTCACACGGCGACGGCTTCCTTCACCGTCTGCAGACGAGGAACCGTCTCACAATAAGAACATTCAAACCATCACTCAGGTCACTTCTTAAAGCTTCAGCTCATCAACACACGTCTGTTATCAGAGCAGCTACAGTAACACAAAGACATCTGTTCACTACAGTGAAGCCCGTGTTGCATTATGGGTAGTCACACATGTTGTGCTCAATAGTAACTGAGTGTTATTTCTGCCCGTTCTCTGCTCTCACTCGTTCACCTTGCTGAGTTCAGGGAACAGCTCCTGCACGGCGATGTCCAGCAGGACGTACGTCATCTGAGGAGACAGGGAACAGGAAGCTGTGATGTCACTCCGGTACAAACACTTATTGACATTTATGAAACGGAAAAATGAAATGGATCTTATGTCAGCTTTTAGTGTCGCTTATTCTACAACAAAAACAGATTCTTTAGGACAAACTGAAAGCGTAAAAAGTAGCAAAGAGCAGCCCTGAACGAGTGTGTTTCTTTAGTAGATGTAGAATGAACGATATAATGTCTACAGAACAATAAGAACATCCGTTTCCATTGGTTCCCTACGAGTCTCACTTTCACTCTGCAGTTCTGTCTTCCACCGGAACGATCTACAGGAAATGAAGGTTTAATCTAATCTCGGTCAACACAAACAGGAAGCGGAGAGCGCTGTCGTTCCCCCCCGTTAGCTGTCGGCAGCTATCACCAGCTACCAAAGAGCACCAATGGAGGTTCTTCACTTATTTACTCCAGCAGAGGAAACGGTGGAACACAAGATGTAGTGTGTCCCGTCTGTGTCCATGAAGGAAGCTAGCATTAGCTCCAAACGTAGCTGGATTACTCCATGTGCTCATTTGCATGCTGGTGACCTCATCGTGTGTTAATTAGCATAAAGCTTGAGGGTTGTGTTGTTGCAGAGAGGATGAGCAGCAGATCTATCTGGATATAGTTCTGATGTTCACCGTGATGGTCTGAAGAGCAGCAACAACAATATTACACTTGGAAACACTAGTGTGTGTGTGTGTGGGGGGGGGGGGGGTCTATTGTCTCTTTAATTAGTGTAATTGGGGTAGAAGGATGTAAAGTTCTTGTGTTCAGACATTAAACATTACAGAACTTTGTCTTCTTCTGCTGAATGAGGAGAAACGTGTGACATGATGTTTTACATATTTCTCAAAGAAAGAAACAGATTGTTGCTTTTGTAAAACTTTAAACTCTGTTTTCAATAGACGGGAGCTTTTCTTCTGGTTTGCAGCGTCGTTATATCTCCTTTGTTAAATACAGCTATGAGCGGCGGACGTGAACAGATAACTTCTAACAAGTCGTAGCTTCAGTGCTGCGTGCACTATGATGGTGTGCATTGTTCCCCGTTACTCCGTTGATCCAACAGGTACAACAGCTCTGTAACGAGGACGCTCCAAAGGGTTCGTTTAACGTGTATCCCAGAATGTCTCAGTGTCTAACATGACACCAGCTTTATGAAGCGTCACCAAACTACAACCTACTGCTGTTTCTCTTATTTTGTCCGCCTGTGCACGTTTCTAAGTCACCTGCTTGTTGAGGACGGGCTGCTGGATGATGTCAAAGAGGAGTCGCACGCCTTCGTATTTCGCCTCCTGGCCGATGCACTTCACCACAAAGTCTGAAGACACAAACACACACTTCACATGTAATCAACTGAAGCAGTTCGTCAGTACAGCAGAATAGTTCAGAGTTTATATCAAACGGATTCAGTGCAGAAGTCTCAGCATTCAAACTACAAATAGTGTCTTCACCAACATGCTCTCACATCCGTTTCTTTCACAGTTCAACTGACTGAGAAGGAACATTTCTACAACAGGAACCAGAAGGTTGAGGGTTTTTTAAATAAGTCAAAGATGCTGGTTGGAACCAGCTGAGGGGAGTTTCGGGGGAAGTGAAAGCAGCAATGAATAAACACAAGCAATGATAACAAAGATTACGTTGTTTGCATAACGGTCGGTCGGATTCCAGCGGAGGAAAGTCCCGAAGTGTTTCAGACAGCGTGGTCCTCCGAAGACGGCAAACTAGAAATATCTCATCTGCAGGACGACTGTTAAAATAAGTAGAGTTAAAACATAGCGTCGCTCTTTGTCTCTTTATCTCGTTGAGATTCTCCTCCTTCATCTCTGACGTCCTGACGCTGTTGCATCACAAATGGAGGATAAACATCTTGTATCCGTCTGTGTTCACCCAGAGCTCTACGATACCTCATATTAGCACAGAGACCAGACTGTGTGTGAATGTATGAGTGTGAACCACAGACTGTCTATGGAACAAACAATAACCACGCTGACCTATGTACGCCTAGATGATGGAGCAGCTACAATGTTAGCTTAGCATTGATTGATCCAGACTCCATTCAGAAAACAACCATCTTAACAGCTGTTAGCTTGTCATCTTGTGGACAGACCTGACAAAGCATGAATTCAGACTTCTTACAAATCAACATCATTATATATTATTTCAGCATCTTTAGAATGTTTGTTGAAGTTAAATCACAGCTGAACGTGTTTATTTTGGGTTCATACAGCTGTAGTAAAGCAGCCGACGAGTGTCTGATAGATACAGTGAATACTCCTCCACATGATGTTATGAACCACACATGATGGACTTTGGTTTCATCAGATATCTGGGACTTCCTCAACTCGTACAAAGCAGCACTAGAGCTTATTTCAGCCCTGACTGATGAAACGTTGTCTACACTGAAGGAGCACGAATAAACTAATGAACACAAATGAACCTGCGATTAACGCAACAGGGAAATTCACTTTGCGTTTGTTGTGAACGCAGCATTAGAGTTATAGAAACGTTGTCGTCTCGAACTATTTCTCCAGAGTGTCATGAAATATTGGATTCCTTGTGATGTTTGAGGATGAATAAAGATTAATAAAGCATGAATAAAGAACAGTGTCGTGGATGATGACTTGAGAGCTGACCTGGTAGATAGTTCATCATCTCATCAAACGTCTGCTTGGCTCTGACTTGTTTGTCCTCTGTGGTTCGCTCCTCGCTGCTCTCACAGAACACCGAGTCTGAAGGAAACAAACGACAACATTGAACCTAAATACATCAGTCAGCTCAGAGACTTTATTCTTCCTCCTCCAGCGACTCTGGCATCAGTTCTTCTTTCATTGTTTCTGACGGTCGAAGACAGAAGAGGAGAAAACTGCAGATATTCAAACCAGGACGACAAATTATCAAATCGACTAAAACTCGACAGATCTGTAAAACTGAGATGCTCCACAAAAGCATCACTTTAAATGTTGTGTTTACCTGCGATGCATTCAGAAGGTTCTTGGACATAAGTCATTAAAAATTTAAAAAACATTTAAAAAAAAACATTTTAAAAACAACTAATCAATAAATTAAACTAAATATCTTACTCAGAGAATGTCAAAAATGTTTAAAAGCAAACTCAAGATGTACCTTTTTAGTCTGGCTTTGAATTCAGCTTTATTTATTCATCTCATTCTTATTTATTGCGTGTTATGTTTTTAGTCTTAACTGATTATTAATTGAGCTTCATATATTTCCTCACTGTGAATTAAGGACATTCATGACAGCGTCTCCTCAGTTACTGCTCTTTTAGTTTGTTTTGTGCCGTTTATTTTGACTGTTTCACCAGGAAACTATTTTTGTTTTTAGGAATAGACCACATGTGGATCCACAAATCTCTGGTTCAGGAAAACAACATCCCAGTGATCCCTGATGTTGAACCAGGACTGTACCTCTCTGAATACTGTACATAAACAACACAAACCCCTGAGCTGTGTGATGAGCGACACCAGGTGGTGCTCCTGGAGGACCATCTCCAGCTTGGACTGCATGAACTGGTCCATGTAGGCTTCAAACGTGTTCTTCAGCAGAATCCTCCCCGCAGCCAGACAGTGATGGAGCCAGTCGGCCGTGTGGAACACCATCCGACCTGTCAGTCAAAACACCAGGACAGACTGAAGAGTCACAACACAGAGCATAAAGAGTCACAACACACAGAGACTAAAGAGTCACGACACACAGAGACTGAAGAGTCACGACACAGAGACTGAAGAGTCACGACACAGAGAGTCTAAAGAGTCACGACACAGACTGAAGAGTCACAACAGAGAGACTGAAGAGTCACAACACAGAGAGACTAAAGAGTCACAACACAGAGACTGAAGAGTCACAACACAGAGAGACTAAAGAGTCACGACACAGAGAGTCTAAAGAGTCACGACACAGACTGAAGAGTCACAACACAGAGAGACTAAAGAGTCACAACACAGAGACTGAAGAGTCACAACACAGAGACTGAAGACTCATGACACAGAGACTGAAGAGTCACAACACAGAGACTGAAGTCACGACACAGAGACTAAAGAGTCACGACACAGAGAGACTAAAGAGTCACGACACAGAGAGACTAAAGAGTCACGACACAGAGAGACTAAAGAGTCACGACACAGAGACTGAAGACTCACAACACAGAGACTGAAGAGTCACGACACAGAGACTAAAGAGTCACGACACAGAGACTAAAGAGTCACGACACAGAGAGACTAAAGAGTCACGACACAGAGAGACTAAAGAGTCACGACACAGAGAGACTGAAGAGTCACGACACAGAGACTGAAGTCACGACACAGAGACCGAAGAGTCACGGCACAGAGACCGAAGAGTCACGGCACAGAGACCGAAGAGTCACGGCACAGAGACCGAAGAGTCACGGCACAGAGACCGAAGAGTCACGGCACAGAGACCGAAGAGTCACGACACAGAGACCGAAGAGTCAAGACAGAGACTAAAGAGTCAAGACAGAGACTGAAGAGTCACAACACAGAGACTGAAGAGTCATGACACAGAGACTGAAGACTCGCGACACAGAGACTGAAGACTCACGACACAGAGACTGAAGACTCACGACACACAGAGACTGAAGAGTCACGACACAGAGACTGAAGAGTCACGACACAGAGACTGAAGAGTCACGACACAGAGACTAAAGAGCCACGACACAGAGACTGAAGAGCCAAGACAGAGACTGAAGAGTCACGACAGAGACTGAAGAGTCACGACACAGAGACTGAAGAGTCACAACACAGAGACTAGAGTCACGACACAGAGACTGAAGAGTCACGACACAGAGACTGAAGAGTCACGACACAGAGACTGAAGAGTCAAGACAGAGACTGAAGAGTCAAGACACAGAGAGACGAAAGAGTCACAACACAGAGACTGAAGAGTCACGACACAGAGACTGAAGTGTCACGACACAGAGAATGAAGAGTCACGACACAGAGACTGAAGTGTCACGACAGAGACTAAAGAGTCACGACAGAGACTGAAGAGTCACGACACAGAGACTGAAGAGTCACGACACAGAGAGACTGAACCCATGTTTTAGTGGTTTCATATTGTCTGAGACTCAGTGAGCATCACTTACCGATGTACATCATGTAGTCATACATGCCGTCTACAGAGATCATTTCCAGGAAGATGTTGTCGTTTTGTTTCCTCTCTGAACTCTCCGACAGGTTCGCGTTGTTCTTGAACAGGTTGTTGAAGAGCTGCAGGTGAAAGCAAAGCGTGACTAATATTACACAACACTAAATGGTGCCAACAATATCAGTTTCCTGTGCGACACACAGGCTACAACCCCTCGTTAACCCAAAGTGTCTCCATGGAGAACAACATGAAGGTTTATCGTACAGCTGACATAACTCTTCCTCCCTGAAGGAAGAGGAAATCCTGTCCAACCGTATAAAAAGGGACTTTTTAAATTCCCTGTGGACTGACAGGACATATCTATTTGCAGTGCTTTGATTAAGGTAATCAGTTTACTTCCTTAAAGCCGGCTGCATAAAAAGAGTAAACATCCTGCTCCAGAGACGTTTGTGTTTGTACCTTCTTGTTGCTCTCGGTGGACGGGCTGAGGATGGTCAGCTCCGGGCGGCTGGGTTTGGGTTTGGGCGACTCGCAGGAGTTGAAGAAGGACTGGATGAACGGGTCCAGGTTCTGTCCTTTCTGGAGAAAAAACAAGTTTCACAGTGTTTCATATCAGTCAGTGTCGCTGTTGAACCTGAGAGAGACAAGTCTTTAAGTGCTGCTCGGCCCTAAAGGATCCTGAACCTGTACTTAGTATCGCTGTCGAATGTGTTGTTGTAGAATAAAGCTCGACCCAAAATACCATAAACTCATTTTATGCAGCGTAAGAGGTTTGCTGGTTGAACTGAGACCACAACATCAAACATGGACAACGTCTCTAGTAGAGACCTGTCAATCACTGTGTAGCCCCGCCCTAAAGCATCCCCTGCTTTATGGTCTGTTTGACTCTAAATGGACCATAATGTACTAAATGAACATCATGCTGTATTGAAGAAGACTTGAAACTAGAGATTGAGACCATAGACTCATGTTTACAATGTTTACTGAGGTAATAAATCAAGAGAGAAGTAGAGTCATTTTCTCATAGACTTCTATACAACCAGAGGAGTCGCCCCCTGGTGGACACTAGAGAGAATGCAGGCATGAAGTGCGCTAGTCGCCCGCTGCTTTCAAACATGAAAAAGGAAATGACTTTAATTTAGAAGTAAAATAATGAGTTAATTTTTAATATTATTATGTCTGAGGATTTTACAAAGACGGACAATGTTTTTTTTAATGCAAAAAAAACAGAAGATCCTAAAAATCTACATTTGAGTCAATACTTTGCAGCCAAATAAAATCGTTTACAGGATATTAAAACCTTTAACCTTTGTTTCATTACAATAAATAATATTTGACTCCAGTCTTTACAGGGATTTTTATAAAGGTGAGTTTACAGTTAATTACAATTGTTATCTTAGTTTAGCATAACAACTGGAAACTGAAGTAAATACTGCAGAAAGTAATTAATCATCGTTTCAGCAGAGTTGAGCTCAGGAGGGACTCACCTCTTTCATCAGCTTCCCCGGCACAGACTTAAATATCTTTCCTGTAAAACAAACACAGTCAGTAAGTAAAGGAGGAAAGAGGTGATTGTACAGATTAATAAAAAGAAAAACATATTTAAAAAGCAGCAGGACGCCTGTTTATTAAACTACACACTTTAATCACAACCAGCTGAGTCTTCTGAGATATTTAGAAGATTTAACTTCATGATGCAGTTACATGAACATAAGTAATAGTTTGGTTCATATCTCTCCAAATAGGACGGACTTGAACACATTTGAAGACAGTGGTCAGATGGGGGTTTAGTGCCTTGCTCAAAGATGCATATTTTGTCTGTTTTGTTTATGTCTCTGGAGGGTTTATGTTTTCAGAATATCCGTCTGTCCCGCTCTGTGTTATCTCAGCAATGTCTAAAGGGAGTTTCTTCAAACTTTGGCACAAGCGTCCAACTTGCCCCGAGGTTGAACTGATCAGAGTTTGGCGGAGGATGTAATTCTAGTTTGTAAAACTCATTTCAGAGCAGCAGTGCTGGATGATATGGCTACAATCAATATACACAATATATATATATATATATATATATATATATATTTTCTAATAACACAGAGTAGCAAATTAATGCAAAGATCACATAAAAAGGAAGGATTGGTAATCTTGCTGAAGTTCTCATTACATCCTGACAGCAATCAAATCAAATGCTCATCCAATCATTTCATTCCACAAGCTGCCATCTTAACATCTGTGAGTGCGAACAGCAGCCATGTTTGTAGTTTACTTTCATAATGATCATTTAGGGGAGTGTCTTTGGAGGGAGGACTTGGAGACTTGCTCACTAGATTTAGAGACTTCTAAAGCAAGTGGAAGAGTTGGCCACACTGTTTTCTTTAGGTTGAATAATCTTTAAAGTGCAGCGTATTCTTGCTGGTTTCTCAGCTTTAGTTTTAAGTAAGATATTTAATGCGTACGTACCCAGGTTGACATCAGGCAGCATCCGGTCCAGGAACTGAGACCCCATGCTGTGAGGAGACAGGAAGTCTGCCAGCAGCTGACTGTTACTGAGCTCTGGATGCTGCAGGAGTCTCTGCGCACGCACGCACGCACGCACGCACGCAAACACACACACACACACACACACACACACACACACACACACACACACA